TTCTGAGACACCAAAAGTCACAGCAGGAATATCCTAAAGGAGAAGAACGTTTTGACATATAAATGTACCAAAAACATAAAGACTGCAGAACAAAATACAAGCTGAAAAACGTACAGAAGAAATAATAATCCATAGTTTGAACACTTCTAAAGTATTCACACAATTCAACGTTTTCAAATTGAACCAAAATAAACACACTGCAAAAACTGTTCACCTAACCAAGTTTTAAAATCTTATATCAGCCAAAAAGTCTTTTTCATCTTGTTTTCAGACTGATTTACTGAACAAGAACTGATTGTGTAAGAATAATCATCTTGTTTTCAGAATGTGTAAGATTATTTGTCTTGTTAGTCTGAAAATTTGACTCAAATTAAGTCATAAATTTCTGCCAGTGGAGTAAGAAAATTTTACTTGGTAAGATTCTTGAAATACTTGATTTGACTCAATTTTTTCATATTTCAAGAATCTTACCAAGTAAAATTTTCTTACTCCACTGGCAGAAATTTATGACTTAATTTGAGTCAAATTTTCAGACTAACAKGYCAAATAATCTTACACATTCTGAAAACAAGATGATTATTCTTACACAATCAGTTCTTGTTCAGTAAATCAGTCTCAAAACAAAATCAAAAAAGAAAAAGAAAAAAAATTGTATAGGTCTTCTGGACGGGTTCTTCTCTAATGAAACGTTTTGTCTCTTCTCCAAGAGACTTCTTCAGTCTGAGAGTTTCAGGCTAAATTCAGGCTTTTAAGCCCTGCCTCCATATGCTGTTAAGTGCCAGGAGGACTGCGACCAGTTATACATCGGGGAAACAAAGCAGCCACTGTTCAAAAGAATGTCCCAACACAGACGAGCTACATCTAATGGCCAGAACTCTGCAGTTTTCACTCATTTACAGGCCAGCGGTCACTCTTTCAGAGATGAGGATGTTCTCATTCTTGATAGAGAGGAACGTTGGTTTGAGAGAGGAGTAAAAGAAGACATTTTTGTGAAGAAAGACCGTCCATCATTAAACAGAGGTGGAGGCCTCCGTTTTCAGTTGTCCCCCTCCTACAGTGCTGCCATTGCCAGTATCACTCCACCCCCTGTTAACAATAGGTATTAATTAGGTGTCAACGATAGCCATGTGATGTGAGTATCAGTCACATGGAGGCAGGGCTTAAAAGCCTGAATTTAGCCTGAAACTCTCAGACTGAAGAAGTCTCTTGGAGGAGAGACGAAACGTTTCATTAGAGAAGAACCCGTCCAGAAGACCTATACAATTTTTCTTTTTAATTTTTTTACCTGGATTACTGAGATGCATCAAAACAAGATCAAAAAGACTTTTTGGCTGATATAAGATTTTAAACTTGGTTAGGTGGACAGTTTTTGCAGTGTGGTTTTCTCTTTGCCCCATTTTCACCAAATTAAACTTCCCATGAATACCAGAAGAACCATTTTGTACGTATAAAGTGAATGTGAAAATGCACCACAGCATATCTGACTTTAAAGTTGAAGGAGAGCAGAAGCTTCTGCTCCATTTCTTGTCACTTTGCAGCCGGTCCCTTCGGACTCGCCTCACAGCCGGCTGCACATGGAGACCAAAGTTATTAATCCAGCGCCTCATTTTGATGAAGGTTAGTTGTGGCTCGTCTATCATACTGCAGCTGGAACGAGGCGTTGTTTGAGTTAGAGCGCTGTTTAGCTTTTGGTTATTGATCTGGACGCTTAAATCCATGAAGATCCTGGAAGCTGGCTCTGTGAACATCATGCTTCAGGAACACGGCTGCTCTTTTGTCCCGCATGCTTTAATAGACTTTCTGGAACCAGTGAACTAAATCAACAAAATCAAGAACAGGCTCTATGTTGTTGTTTTTTTTTTAGTTTTGGAACATGGTTGCATGAAGGGATCGATGTGTGTCCCATGCTTGGCAGAGAGAAGGATTACGGGTATTTTATCAACACAGACATGTTTTTGTGCAGTTCTGAAAATCTGACAACATTAAGTATTTGGAGTATTTCAGTTAAATGTTAGCATTAGGTGACCACAGACTATTTGATTGAAAAGGATGAATTATTAAAAAGTGGGGTTCAGTGAAAGATTATGAACAAAAATGTGTTTCCTACTGAAGGATTTCTGTTTGGAGTTAAACTCTGCCTGAACTGACAAGCTAATGGCTACTCTGCGCAGAGTCACAGCCAAACAAGATTGTTATTTTGTAAAGCGCCTCGCCGTTTTCTAAACTCTCCACCAGAACAGCTTTTTGCTCACTATGACATGACGTGTTTATAAAGCAGAACAGATATAAAAGCCTAATCACAGCGAAGAACTTCCACATCCAGCTTCAGTTCTGAAAAGCTGGAGACATTGTGTAAAATGTAAACAAAAGCTTTTTGAAACAAACTAGGTCAAATGACATTTGGTCAGTAAGGCTACATTCACACTGCAGGCAAATGCAACATAAATTAAAGTTTTTTTTGCCCCCATGTGACCCGTATCAGATTTTTTATGACAGTGTGAATGTGACAAATGCAATTTAAAAAAAAAAATCTGACCCAGGCCTTTTCAGTAAGTGGTATTAAACTGGATATATATCTGATGTTTTAAAAGCGACCTCAGTCTGAACGGTCATGTCAGATTAAAAATATAATGAGAATGGCAATAAATAAATAAATAAATAATAAAAAAATCAGATTTTTGCAAAGTAATAGCACTTGAACACTTCCACAACTCCTTGCCTTTAAACACAGTTCTCAAAAACCATCCACAAAATAGTGGTTAAAGCTCTATCATGTAAAGAAGCCAGTAAGAAATGCAGTCAAATTCAAAATTACCCAATTTTTAAGAAAGTACAAAAATAGAAAGTACAACTGTTAAATCTAACATTTGATATGTTAACTAAATTTCACTGTGAATTAATATGGAAGCATGAAACTTAATTAATTGCATATTTTTAAATTATGATCCCACACGTGAAGCAGGGGGTTCATACTGTTTTCGTACTGTTTATTTTCATTTTATTTTTTAAAGATTTTTGGTCGACTGCAGCATGGAAACGGCTGCACCGATCAACGTGAAAGTTGGTAGGAAAGTAGACGTGTTCGACCTACACTGTGCCAGCCAATAATTTTACAATAGACCCCATATTTGAGGAGGGGGCTCCATCTAAAGAGGGGGAGTCTGGATATACAAAAATCAGAGTTCCTACAGTTTAAGGAAAGTTAAATTTACGACTTTTTAATGCCAAGTGAAATCAAATTTAAGACCAATTTCACAATAAACACAAACGACAAAAAAATTAATAAATAAAATAAAAACCAATTAAACTGTGGCAGAAACTCACAAATCACAGTATTTTGGTTGAATTATTCAAATATTGCTAATAGACCAATTGTTTTTACCCATATCTAACTGCTATTTTGTCAAATTTAGCAAAAAAACATTCTTATCAGTCAGTTTTAAACTTAATTTAATTCCTGGAAATTCTCTAACGACCCAAAATTTGTAGTTTTAGGACCCAGAGTGGGTTCTCAACCCCAGCTTGCTGTAGATGAAACCTTAAAGTGCCTGTGACATCACATTTTTGTAAGAAATATGAATGCATTTTTGGAAAGACAACATTATTAACATTAGAAAACTAATTTCACATCGCTCTGATGGACAGTTGAGATATTTGCAGGTGAAATAACAGGAAGTGATGTCAAAAGGAAACATCTGAATGGGAATATTTAAAAAATAAATAAATGTTACCAATTATTTTAATATTTGAGATGAATTACAGTCATCCTACTTACAATGTGTTCACATTTTTAAGACTTCTGAAGATTGATTTAAGACCTTTTAAGTCTAGTTAAGGCCTTATTTATGGATTGATGAATTCAAGGACCTTTTAAGACTTTTTAAGGATCTGCAGGATCCCTGATTTAACATAGGAGCTTCAGATCTTTTATTTACCCTTTTTTAACTGTGGTTGTGAAAGATACAACATCATACACGTGTGTTTCATGCAACTATGGAAAAATATTGCTGAACTTATTATTATTGGTATTATTGGTGAGAATGACTCAGAATATGTAAGTGACTCATGCACCTCTTCAGAAGTCATTTATTTCACAAAAAAACATTGAAATGTGTTGGAATTTAAAAATAGTTTGTCAACAAGGAGCACACGCTGAATTTATTAAGAACTTTTATATTTGCAGAATAATCCTAAAGAGTATTTATTGAAGCAGGGGCGTGCACGTGAGGGCACCTTAAAATAAACACTTTGTAACAGATGCAGGTCTAACTCTCTTTCAGTGGAGGTCAGTGACACGACAGAATAAACTACTTCGACTAGCAGGAATCAAATTAATAATAGCACCGAGTGACAAATTTGTTCATGTTAGTGTTTTTCATGAGATTTGTTGGTAAGAAAAAAGAAGAAAAAAGCTCAGCTTGATTAAGAAACACTATTAAAGATGAAACAACAGCTAGCAGACAGCTACTTTTCATGCAGTAGTAAAGGTTCACTTTCCTTGTCGGATTTAATGTCACCTTTTTTTGCAACAATGGATCAAGTATTTATTAGGGATATCAATGATGGTGACAACAAAAACAAAGATGGGCTCAAAAAACTGCATTAAAATGCTCTGAGCAGGAAGACAAAACGCCTTTAAAGCAGTTGATTTCCATAAACAGAAGCTGTAAGAAGTGCAAAAAATAAAACCTTGTAAAAAAAAGAAATAAAAGGGGGAAAATAAACCAAACAAAGAGCTTCTATCAAATTAAGGTATTTTAATACTATTAGACTGACCTTGCATTAACCTAAAGAAAAGCAGTGTTTGCTTTCCACTACAAGGCTACATTATATTTATATATGTTTTACTACTTTGTTTTCTTTCATTGTAAAACACTATGTAACCTTTATTTTAAAGGAATGCTACAGAAACAAGTCCCTTATTATTTATTAGAGTTTTATCACTGCATAAAAATAAAAGCTCAAGGCCACAGAGAGGAAAGAGAGTCGAGCGTTCTTACCCAATGATGGGATGTTTGAAGCCCAGTTTGTCGGTGGTCTGCTGGATCTCCTTCTCTAGCCACGCCTGGGGGCGCACCAGGTACTTCACAAACTGGGACACCCACCAAACAGACGGGTCGCCGTGCAGACGCTGCAGACGCGGCGCCAAGTCCTCGGGGACCGCCAGCGGTAGGTAAGGGGGTCGAGGGTGGAGGCTGTCGACAATCGGCAACTCCACAACTTGAACGTCCTTATCGTGAGCCTCCCCTAGATGGGTCAGTAAAGAGCAGGTGGAGAATCAGACACCCAGGAAATACTATGTTTAGAGGTACAACACTTGCCTGCTGAGTCCTAAACCAGTGGTTTCCTCAAAGCCCCCCACCTTTTAAAAATCTGCTCTCTTGTGATGTCCCAGGTTTGGAACCACTGATTCTAAATTGTTTGTGTACAGACTTTGTTTAACTTCTTATCTAGATGAAAAAGAAAAAATAAGTAGGTCCTCTGGATGGTTCTTCTTTAGTGAAACGTTTAGTCTCTCCTCCAAGAGACTTCTTCAGTCTGATGAGTTTCGGTGAACTCAGCCTTATAAGTACTGCCTCCACATGGACAAACAAGTTGGTCACATGAAAAAGAGGGCTCATCGCTTAACAATAGGCTTGTTTAGCTTTATTTAGTCACATGCAAAAGAGGGCCATCGCCTAACAATAGGCTTGTTTAGCTTTATTTAGTCACATGAAAAAGAGGGTTATCGCCTAACAATAGGCATGTTTAGATTTATTTAGTCACATGCAAAAGAGGGCCATCGCCTAACAATAGGCTTGTTTAGCTTTATTTAGTCACATGAAAAAGAGGGTTATCGCCTAACAATAGGCATGTTTAGATTTATTTAGTCACATGAAAAAGAGGGTTATCGCCTAACAATAGGC